TTTCTTCCTCAGTTCCTTAGTAATCACACCATTGGAGGCATGTAGGGGGTGCACGTGGGTGCACGTGCACCCACTCCGATTGGCCAACACTGCCGGTGGTACCTGTGGGTGGTTGCCCCTTGCCATCCCTCCTCCTCTCACCTCTGACACTGCTGGCGGCATCTGCAGGTTGTCCTTGATCATCGCTGGCTGCTGCCGACACTGCCAACAGTGTCTGTGAGTGGTTTTCGACTGCTGGTCAGTGCTTGCTAACCCCTGCCCCCGCCACTGCTGTGGCTGCCTGTGGGAGGTCCCTGCTCGCCACTGCCATGCTCCCACCACTGACACCACTGCCACCTGTGGGCAGTCGCTGTGCCCCGCCCCCCCAGTCTCTGGGGCCATGCGGCATTCATAAATCACACAGTATTTTCTACTTGCAGTATCTGGACATTTCCCTTTCCACAGTATACTGATGTCTCAATCCAGACTTCTAATTTTAACAAATAGAAGATTGCACCAGAAGAAGACCTAAAATAGTCATATTTCTGTGCCACTTGCTGTCATTTCAAAATATATGCTGTATATGCAGGGGGGAACTGTGACAGGTGGATGTTTAAATTGCTGGGATGGGCTGAGAGAGGTGGTGGTGATGCAACAATTTTCCCCAAGACTTGTTATATCACATTTCTAAGTGCTTGTGTTCACTTTCTTAGAAAAAAACAAACAAGGTGGCTTCAGGTTCATCAGGCTGTCACCCAACATTGAAAGCATTTAAAGCATGAAGCTGCACCCTGCATGGAATGCATTTTTGTTGTGTTCTAAATACTAATCATGTAGTAAATCTGGAAGTATGAAAATGGAGCTTTAGCTAAATACATCTGATGAAATGCTAGAGAGAACTCCATTGAGACTGCACAACATGCTGTAACAGACTCTTGAGCTTTTAAAGTCCCTTTGTACCAGTTGAGAGGTTGAGAGCAGGGTTCCTAAGGATCCTCCCAGGACAAAAGTGTGTGACTCTATACAACAAGGGATATTTCTTGGATGGGCTGGATTGTTGTGTACTCTGATAATCCCCACTAGTATAGTGGGACTTAGAGACCACTAAAAACTAGCTAGCACTATTTAAAGCAACTGGTAAAGTTTGTAGAGAATGAATGTCAATAAACTGCTGACATATTTATTATAATTTATTATGATTAATTTGGGGTCATTACAAATTTAAATTTTAGGAGAACCTTTCAATTATTTTCATAAACATAGTCCTTAGAGAGTGGAATTACTTACATGCTTAGGTTTAAGGTTAATTATTAAATGAGGTGCTCAGAGCAATGAAAGATTCTAGAAATCCCTGGCTTTCTCTCAATAAGTGATAGGCATAAAAAAGCACGAGGTAGAATGCTGTTTCCTTGGCCATACATTTGTATTACCTGTAACTTGACTGAATAAACTGCATAGTATCAGTTAAGACTCTTTTGCAAATTGTAGGTGAAGATGGTGTAGTAAATCGGATTTATTTAAAGACTAAACAACCAACAGGTGGGTCTTCATCACGATCATCCATGGTAAACAATGGAGAATAGGACTATGTTTGATAATGTAAGTATACATTAGAAAGTCTTTTCTACTATATATCTGTTGTATATAAAACTGGTCTGAGATTTCTGGAAAGATTAGATTTTAAAAATACAAGTGGCCCTACAATTAAATAATATGTTCACTAATCAAGTAATACTATGTAGTCTTGGAAGCTCCCTGGTGTATTGTTGATCATATAGCTTAAAACATATAGTAACATCACTTTCCTTAGAATTTTCCAAATCTGCTTGGTATATCAAAGCCACAAACGCTGAGCATCTCACCATGTCCCTCCTGCCCCCAATTTTAAATTCATACAATGAATTCTACAAATAGGCCTATTGAAAAATATTCTGTATGAACAATTGGAAGTCCTTGTGGAATACTACATTCCATCTGCCCTAAAACCCAGAATTTGTGTTTAAAACCTCCTAGCTATCTTAGCTGCTTATACTTGCTCCTGTCCAATATGTAGGCACTTCAGGCTTCTAGTTAAATCATCTGGAGAGAAAACAAATGATAGAAAATCAAGGACTGTCTTAGCAAAGGAATTTCTTGACCTTAAAAACCTTATTCTTAAAACACAACACATTTCAGGCTGAGCAGAGTTGCTCCTGACCTCTTTCTCCTGTAAATCTTCACTGCAATAGTACTGTCTCTTAAGAAATGCCTCTGTCTCCGCTCATCTCAGGAGCTAAAGTCACTCAACCAGAGATCGTTTTCTTCGACTGCAGCTCCATGGGAATGGACCAGTAAATGAGCATCAGAATTAAGCTCCAGATTATAGTCTTGAGGGTGTTAATTATTTCCTGGGCAAGGCAGTTGTCTGAAAGTTTGGTGGGTTTTTTTTCTATATCCAGGCTTATTTTCATTCAGGGTTCCATATTGAGACAGACAGACAAAATATTTTGACATAATATTTATCTGCTAATGTTTTGTAAGTAAATTCAAGTATCAGTTCTACCAATTTCCTGATTTGTATAGGAAATTGCCATGTTACCAATTTGAGACTAATGAAATGATGATATGGTCAAATAACTTGGCTAAAAATGATTACTAATAGAGAACGTTCTTTGAATATGAAAGTTAACATTGATCATGGAATTAATTATCTGGCAAGATTTAGACCACTCCCTTACCAAGCACAGGAAAAAAGGGAATAAACTCTTTTATGATTTCTATAATGATATCTTCTAAATAAAGAGTCAAAACAAATTTTAAATATGTTCTAGAGAAATTTCTGCCACAAAGATGAAAGCAACATAAAGTTGAGGAAAAATTACAATCCTACTGTGTGTGCATTTAATAGATTGCATATTTTTGAAGTGAGGGCACTACCAACATTATCTCATAAAACTAATGACCTGATGAAAAGGTGGCAGCAACTGATACTTTTATTCAGACCAACCTTTAAGAAAAGAGCATCTTTCATGTTTAAGCAAGCTATAGAAAAAGAAGATATAAATCTGTCTGAATTGACAGTCTCAGCACTCTCTTCTTTCTGTTCAGCCTGTTCAACTCCAAGCTTGGGGCTTGCACATAGGATGACTACTGTGCATTTGGGAGTATCTGAAGGCCCAGGCTGAAGAGTCTGTGAAGCAGGCTACTTGCCAGTGGTAGCATCACACAGACTTGAACGACTGAGCTCTGTTCAGTCAAATAGAATCTGGAACTGATTTGGCTGATTGGGCCCAGGACACAAAATAAAAAACAAACAAACATATGTACTACTATATATACAGTAATTAGATACAAAAGTACTACATATAAAACTGTGTTTATGGAGTACCTGTGCTAAAACTTGTAGCTCAGAAAAGACAAAAATGCATCAATTCTGGATGAACTAAGTATGTAGGTACTATATGCAAATTACTACAATTATGTTTCAAAGTCAGTGTTTTCATATTTGCTCCTCACTTCCATGTTCATGGGGAAAGCAGGGTCTGACAGCAAACAGTGGGGTAAGGGTCCTCAGGATACGTTGTTCATGGGGTAGAAAACAAGGGGACTACCTAATTCCCTAGTCGAGATGCACTTTTTCTTGTATAGTTTACTCTGCTCCCAGTCATGTAGCTTGTCTATATAAATTGCTCCACCTCAAAATGAAACCATTTGTATGGGCAAAAGTACAGTTTTGTGGGTACAACTGTACCTAGCATAGTTGTACCAGCTTTTGCCTGTCCATCCACCCTTGACTGATCTAGTGCTACCAGCAAAAGTCTCTGGTATAGACTTATATATTTCACATCAGATAATTAAAAACAGTTTTACAGTGCATTCATATAAAGAAGGAAAATTAAGGTTGACTGCATCTTAATTGGGTCATTTCCTAATGTCAAGGGCTTGATTTTGTAATCCAAATAATGCTCTTTTAATATCATCTTATGTATGTAATTTCTTAGGGTATTTTTTTTAACAAAAGCCCTAGAAATTCCATATGGTGGCACAATACCGACAGTCATGTGGTTCATCTACAGAGTTGAAACCGTTTGATCCACGACACACACCTGTCAATGGAATAACTGACAACAGTTGCTAGTCTTGAGATAGCCCTGCACTAAATGGAGATGTGCCACTTTCCCACTGTTTTTAGTTAATTCCTAATGGAAAAGGAAGATTCGGGGATTTTGGTTTCCATTTCAAGCTCTGGATGCAAATAAGCTTATCTGGCCTATCCAGTCCTATTTTCCCCTCCTGTCTTGCTCCCAGCACTCCCTGGCTAGGTACAGACAGTCAAAAAGTCCAAGTCTGAATCAATTCAGTCTTTGCAGGTTGCTGCAGACATTAAACTGAAAAATAACTAGACAGACATTCACTTTGGATTCAGGAAATGCAGCCTCATACCTGTAGTGGCTTAGGCCAGAAGAAGGGTTGGGGGGAGGGCGCCAGAGCATGGCTCTCTGGCATGTAGTCAGCATGGGCTGTGCATTTGCTTCCTCTTCCTGCTGCCCCAGAGATCTCTGAGAGTTGCAGTCCAGAATCACAGCAGAAAGACTCTGCAGGGTTGTTCATCAGTTCCTCTTCCTGCTTCCAGGTGCTTCTGGGATTTGTAGTCCACAGTTGCAGCAAACAGTATGTTTTTAGCAGGTCAGGGCAGCTCTGTACTCAGGGGAAGGGAAGTTTTAACCCCCCTCCCTGGCCCCAGATACCAGCTGGGGTTTGCTTGGGTGGTGGGGCAGTCCTTGTCTCTACCCCCAGCCCTTTTCTGCTGGAGCAGACAGCAAAGCCCAGCCCAGGGCTGGAAAGCATGCTGGGATGCTTGGGGACTGTGATTTAACTTGAACCAGGAAGGGGTCTGGGACAGAAGTTTTATAAAGAGGCTTGACCAAATCAGTTAAGTCTGGTACTACATTCAGCCAGGTTTATCTTAAACCAGTTTCAGCCTTTTTGAAACTGGTGTATGCACACTAAACTTCTGTTCCATTACAGGTTTAAACCAGTTTCTGCTCACTTAAACTGGTTTATGTGTAACTTTTGTCCCTAGCCCCTTACTTCAACTTACCCCCGCAAGCTGCCAGTCCCAGTTGCCTTCTATACTGAGTTATAGTTTGATCCCCTCCCCTACTCCCAGCTCTAGTTGCAGGAAAAATACAGATGAAGCAATGATGTCACACATTTTCACAAGTCCACACTGCTAAAAATGACTGCTTAACATGTAAGAACACAGAGGCCTTCTTGCTGAGTTAAAATTACAGCCCTATTTCAGTTAAAACACAGCCATCTGTAGTCAGTAAAAGAAGGGAATAAAATCCCTCCTTCTACCACACATCATGTATCATATAATCAGCTATTTATCTCTCTTGGAGTACATACAGTTTGGATTTTTAAAAATCTAGTGTAAGTGTAAAACAATGCAAGGCAATTAACACATTCCCATGATTTATTTTTAGTATACAGCATGCACAAGTGCATATCACTTGCCATTACTTATAAGTATAAATATAATTAGTTTAAGAATACGTTAGTATAATAAGGAATAAAATTTAGCAGGAATTTTTGGAATAGAAGACGTTAATGCTTTTCTGCAGAAGATTTTTCTTTGGTATTCATTCATTCTTTCCTTCAAGTTCATGTATGTACTTGGTACTCCATGCTCTGAGGACCATAGGCATTAGGGCTGTGCAAAACAGCACCGTTCCATTTCAGTTTCCATTTCATCATTTCAAAGGGACATTGTGTCATTTTGCTGTTTTGAAGCACTGTTCCATTTCATTTAATCAAAACTGTTTCGCTCTTCTGATGCTATTTCAACACACTTTGACTTTTCGCTCATAGGCTTTAATGGGGAATCATGAAAATGCCTATAACTTTGTTGTGTCTTTCCTTATTTAAATGAAAACAGCAGGGATGGTAGCCCCTGCTGAGGCCACAAAGCATGTAAAGTTCCAAGGATATAGGTGCAGGGGTTTCTGGGAAACTGCACCTCAAACTGTTCAGAGCAAAACTCATGTCACTTGTAAGTGTGAAGGCACACAGGGATGAAAACAGCAGGCGTGGTAGCCCCTGCTGAGGCCATGAACCCTGCTAAGTTTCAAGGAGATAGGTGCAGGGAATTGGTACCACTTTTCACAGATGAACCTATGAACTTCACTTCATTAACCTCCTGGATACAGAAATTCATGGAATATAGACATTGAAGTTATGACACACTACAACCTGCCAGACATCTGACTCCCCAGGCACCTCTCCACTTTTACCTGCTACATCCTCCTTCCCCCTCACCCTAGCCTGTCCCTAACCCCCTGGTGCCTCCATTTCCATTTTCACTGACTGGCTTTCTTGCTTGCATTGCATGACGGCTTCTGGCGCCTTTCTGATTCCTTCCATCCAGGAACAGCACACACACCAACTGCTGGTTCTTCATTGTCTTGATGAAGGGTTTTTCAGTGTGAAAACTGGCATCCCAGGCAGCTAAGATGAACTCACCTGGAGCCTCACAACCCACTGCAACCAGCAAGCCTCAGGCCTCTCAAAGATGTGATGGGTCTGGGCTTTTCCTAGCCAGGACTGTGTGTGCATGTGGTAGTAGGAAGTTATAAGGTGCCTCTTACCTCCCTTTCACCAGGGAGATCCTTGGTCATGGCATTTCCTGGAGCTTCCACTCAGTCAGCAGTCTCACCAGGCCTCCCAACCCTGCCAGGACGCAGTTTTAGTGGTCATGCCCAGGACCTGGGGCCGCCTTCTTCCCCATAGCTCCTGTCCATACCTCCAAGTTCATCCTGGTGCAGGAGCTCAGCAGGGACATGTTCTTCCCTTGCTGGCTGCTGATACAGCGAGTGCCCTCTCCAGCCTTGAGAGCAGGGCACTAATTGGTTGTGAAACCCAAGGGTAAAAAAAAAAGGAAGAGTGGATGGAGGCACTCACTCCATCTGCACATGGAGCTTAGGGAACCCCAGGAGTGGGAGGTTCACTTTCAGGAACACCAGCTGCTCCACCAAACCAGATTCCAAGGAGGTGTGGTGGGGTGTCACTATGTCACCAGCAATGCTGAACACTCTCTCTCTTGGAATGCTGGTCAGTGGACAGGACAGGTGTTCCCAGGCAACCATGGCCAGATCCAGACACATTTGGCTGTGGCTTGCCCAGTAGGCCAAGGGGCTGTACAGCAGTGGCTCCATGTCCTCGGTGAGATAGGGCGCCACCAAGGCCTAAGTGCTACCTGCCTGATGGTGGGGTCTGGTGCCTCTGGACCCCACCATGGAAGCCATGCCCTTGGCCCATATTGGCAGCACCTGTGGTGGAAGAGGAGACTGGTTGGTGGATGCATGCTGGTATGCGGCAGTGGATCCCCCTGCCTCTGCCCTTCTGCCTCCCTGACTGTTCACCAGTACTTCTGTCCACTGCTCCAAGGTTTTGCTGCCACATACACTTACACTCCCCTCCACCCTCAGGTCACATGTGGACTGTACTTGACTGCAACAGATCAAGCTGTTTCCTGATGCCCTCCTTCAGCCACCTCACCAGTGCCTGCGCATCTGGTGACAGTGGCTTGCCCCAGCCAGGAGTATTGGTCCCCTGGAACTTCTCCATTTGGTTCTGAGATTCCCTCACTACAGGGATCACCTGGCTAAGGAAGGCATTGGCAGCACTGAGGGTCTTGGTGGCCTCGAGGAAGGGCTTGAGGACCACCAAGTTCTGGGAGATGGTATCTCACTCAGTTCTGTTAAGGGGGCCGTTGATTCTAATCTCCCTGAGCAAGGCCATCTCATGGATAGCTTTCTGTTGCTTCACCAGTCTCTCGAGCATGAGGTATGTGGATTTCCACTGAGTCTCCACATCCTGCATGATTTTGTGCTGTGGGATTCTCAGCTCTGTCTTTTTGTCCTGCAGCATCTTGGCCCCCTTGATGCTGCGGTGGAAGTAGCCTGCCACCTTCCTGCATTTGGAAATGAGCTTGCTGGTGGTGCTGGTGCCATCACCAACAGCCCTGTCTCCCTTCCAAGGCATCCCTGACAATGAGGTGGAACTTGTGTGCCATACAGTGGATGCCAACAAACTTGGCATCACGGACTGCCTTGACCATATTGGCCCCATTGTTGGTGACCACGAACCCATGGGTGAGCTCACCCTGCCCAATATGCTACCCCTGCACCAAGCGGTTCATGGCCCCCATGATCTCTGCTGCTGTGTGGGACTCATCCATCACCTCAACTTGAAAGGGTGATGGATGAATCCCACCAACAGCCTTACTGGTTGCACCAGTGCCCCGTGAGGGAGACGTATGCATGATCATCACCCTGGCTGCTCCAGATGTTCGAGGTGAAGTCCACCTGTGGAACTGCCTTGCACATCTCCTCCCTCAAGTACTCCCTGCATGCCTCATACAGGGAGGACACCACCATCCTGTGGTGGTACATGCAGGCTTTTGGTATGATGGGGCCATGAGTGCCATGAGCCACTTGAACCCTGGCCACTCAACTAAAGAGAAGGGGTGGCCATCCACAGCAAGCATCTCCCCAATCCTCTGGGTGATCTCACTCACCCTTGCAATGCACCCCCCCTTTCTGTCCACCTTTCCCTCACTGTTCCAGAGTGGCCGGCTTTGGGGAGATGGGGGCTTTGGAGTGAGAGGGGGACTTCTTTTTGGGTACACTCCCACTGGTGCTATGCTGAGGAGGAGCAAGGGCAAGGGGGTAGTGCCTGTAGAGATGCATCAGTATCCCTGTGGTGCTCATGTGTTTTGAGCCCTTACCTTGGCTGGTTTTGGCTCAGCAGTGTAGGCAGATAGCATATGGGAGATCATCTGCCTGCTCAAAATGATCCCAGACCACACTACCCCCTCACTTCTGGGGTGTGGGTGCATGTGCAGATGATGCCTTTCCCGCCTTCTCAGCAGGCAGAGGCATAGCAACAGGAGGAGTGGACTCAGCTGAGCCACTTGCCTCCATAACCTCTACCTAAACTTCCTCCAAATTGTCTTCTAGGGAAGGAGACCTGGCTCTAGGGGAAACTTGAGGGGTGTGGAGCACAAACTCAGACGATTCCCCCTCCTTCCCCTTAATTTTCCTCGCTATGGCACTCAGATCTAGTTCCAGCTCCAGCTCTTCCTCTGGCATTGGAAGGCTCAGGATGGGAAGTGAAATGGGGGTGGAGAAGACTGTCATGCTGGTACTGCTTGTTGTCATGATGATGGTGGTGGGGGGCATTATAGCTGGTGCTTTTGGAGGGAATGCAGACTCAAGCAGTGGCACTGCTCCCCTCTCCCTGCTGCCAGTAGAAACCTCATGCCTGCTAGTTGTAGGAAATAGGCTGGGTCTCAGTTTGGCAGGGGAAGGGGAACTTACAGCTCTCCCTCCACCCCCTCTTCTACCCCTCCCTTAAGGCTTGCCAGCTGCCTTTCCAGCATGCTTCATAGTGTGCTTCATAGCGTGTTTGGTGTGCTGGAAAATCTGTATGTTCTTCTGTAATGTAATATGTATTTATGTAATGTATATAGATAATTGTATGTATATATTTATATAATGTACAATGTATTTATGTAATAAATAAAATATATAAATATACTATAATATGCAATATATGCTGTGTTTCCCTGCATGGTGAATGGAATGTGAGAGAAAGCACAGATTTATTTTCTGTGGGAAAAGAATCAAAATAGACTAACAAAAACAAAAAGAGGTTTTTGGGGGAGGAATAAATTGAAAGGAATAATAAAAGGGTATTAGGAAAGCAAGGGGCATTGGATCCCACTTGCTAGTAACAGGCTAGCAAATAGGAAGTAATAGCCTTTCTCTGATGCTGCTGAGCTGCTGGAAGACACAGCTTAGTAAGCTGACCCCCAGGCACAGAGAAATCTTAGTTCAAACACTGCTTTTTATGCCGTTTTTCCATCCCTTCTCCAGAGCACTGGGATTGGAAGGGACCTCAGGGAAGGATGACAGTCGCTGGCCAGCTAGGCATGTCAATATCAGAGCAGTCCTTCCCCACTCTTCCCTCTCCCTCTCCTTAGTTTCTGTTTAGCTGCAAGCGAGCCCACCTTTGAAACTTGAAATGTTTCAAAATGTTTTGAGTGCCCTTGTTTCATTTCAAAGCTGTTTTGAAGCCTTTCATTTCATTTCAATTTCAGTGTTTTGAGCTTGAAACAAGTCAAAACAGCATTGAAATGAAACACCCATTGAAATTTCGCACATCTCTAATAGACATAGCTAGGATGAAGTGAGAAAAGGATGCATATTTTTTCCATGGTCATTTTCAGGGCTACTGAATGAATCTGTGGTCTGGGTTACTAGAGATAGACAAGCATTACTCTTCAATTCTGTGCATGTTACTGCAGTTCCACATTCCAGGTCATATTTAGTTAAACCTATTGTCCAAGAGCTCCCAGTGCTTTCAGCATCTGTGACTTTGGGGCAGCCTCAGCCTGGAGACTGCCTTGGGCTGGATATCCCAGGGCTGCTAGATTCTCAGGTGGGAGCCAGATAGTTCCAGATTTCAGAAACCTGGAGCTCCCTAGGTGTGGACAGTCTCCATAGCAGGGCTGTTCTAAAGTCCCAAGTCCCAGATCTGTAGTAGAGAACTTGAGAAAAAGTTTGGTGAGAGCCAAGACTTCCCAGACTCCCAGTTTCACCTGGTCACAAACTGGGAAGCTCTGACATTGTTTGTTGCCTCAGAGCCATTGACCTTGAGAGTGCTGGTACTCCTAGCAGCCTGCTAGGATACCAAACAGGGTCTGTGGGAACCTGCTTTTCACTCGTTGAAAGGTTGTCAAATCAGAGATTGTCTGGGGGGAAATATTTTTCAATTAATCATTTTTCTTTGAAACAGTTTTAAAGAAAATTTCCTATAAACTCTGATATAGATTGCAATAACAGATTCTAGTTTAGACAGTACAAATTAGAGAATTTTATTTCCATTTTAGGTTTGCATGTTCTAATAGAGGACTTGTAATGTGGTGACAACATAAAATCAATCTGGCTGACTGAAGATTTAAAAATCAAATGAACTTCTCAACAAAACATAGAGTCATTCCAAGTTCCAGAGTTTAGAAGAGAGGGCTCAAACTTAGGTGTAGAGTTAGCTTTCAAATAGAAACTATTTTTAATTTTAACGGTATATTGCTTGTTTAGAGTGCTTAAATTCACAAAGTGCAGTAACTAGAACATCATTTTCAGTCAAAGATTTCTGGGAGTACTATCAAACACCTTATTTTATCATGCTGTATATAGATATTTAGTAGATTAAAGTAAGTTATTGTAGTGTCTCTGGCTAAGATATGGTACCAATCTATTAATTCCAAAGAACACAAGTGTGTTCTTTCCACAACTTTTGATACAGGTCAGTGATTCCATTAATGTCACCTGATAAGCAAGTCAGGGCCTTTATAAATGAATGATCACATGCCCTTGGAAGCCTAGTCCTTGTTTTAATTTAAAACAGAAGTTCTTTATTTCTGGAATTTTTTTTCTATTTGGAAGCAGTCAACTGTGTATTATCTTTATGCTATGGCAGTTCTTGAATGCATCCTGGAAAAGATCAAATTCTTATGTTAGTTATTATATATAATATATTTAATAATTTCATTCTTATTTAATGTGTGGAAATATATGGTATATTCTTCCAAAATAGATAAAAGCTAACTAACATATTAAGTAGTAAAACTCATTAAAACTTGCAACTTCTAAATGAGTGTTCCTAATGCTAAAATAGTGAAACCTCCCTGTTCCCCTTATTGTTCTAATATATCTGAAAGCAGTCAGTTGTTTGGATTGGAAAGAGAATTGCTGCCAATAATGAGATGAGGGATGAGAATGTAAACATGGAGAGCTTGCTATTTTATATATGTATGTGTGTGTGTATATATATATATATAT